AACTGAAAGCCCAGGACTGTGTGTGTCAAGTCGTAGCAGTCTAGCGTTGAGTTACCCACAAGGTGAATTTTACGTATCCTGCGAGTTCACCAGTTGGATAATTGAACTCTACTTTCGCAATTGCATCACTAGGCTTTGACAGCAAATGCTGGGTTCAGGTAGTATGTGAATTGAACAAAGATGAAACGTTATCCATAACACACCTACTCTAAATCTAAGGATTGGAAGACAGCTAAGGAATGTACTGAATGCTTGCTTGAAATCACAGTTGGCAGTTATGATAGTCAGAATACACTCAATAGTGTATGCAAGTATGCCGCCACGCATACATTTAACAATCAAAGATGGAGCCTTAGAGTCGTTTAACAAAATGATATTTTTAGCGTCATGCAGTGTACTAGTAACGAGAAATTTCTGTTTTAGTGTCCATAGAGGGCGTAGCTTCATGGAGGGCGCTGCGCTGCACTTTGGAGGGTAAGGACGACTATCATTTTGTTCAAAGTTAATGCTTATATATTCAAATTTAACACTGTATATTTATACCTATATTACTATTATATTGTTTGACTGTTAGGGTGAAGCCTGTTATCCTCCTCTAGGCACACTTAACACTGATGTGTGCAGGTTTCTGGAGTATTTTTGTCCCGCAGTCGGTCTGTTTTTTTCTCGGCGACTTTGTGCACTTTTGATGGAGATTTGGCTTTATATATTATGTTGCAGTGGGGCTTTTCCTAGCACCACAGGACCCTCTTCATGTTATTGATGGCAACTAAACTGTATTGCATAATCAGATCTTGTGACGTTTCTCAATAATTCTGTAAAACATTTTGTTTTTCTGAAATAAATGGATCTTGCCTTAACTGTGATTAATCCAGTTGCTGTTCCCTATATTGTTCTCAGTTTGAATTCAGATGCCTACAAATTTAATTCGCAATGCTGTTATTAATGGAATTTGGTCTAGCAAGTGTTATATATGTATTTTACACAAACTGTTTAGAATACACAAGACCAATATATGACACAGTAGGATGAATGTGGCACTTCAAAAAAAAAAGTCTGAAATAAATTGGGGGGGGGGGGGGCAGGCAAAGATTGCATGGACATCTATTCCACAATTCATATACACTACACTATCTGAAAGTGTAAAAACCCAGTATTTATTTCCATTGACATTTAACAAAAAATACACCATGAAATGAAATAATTAAATACAAAAAAAAAGAAGAATTGTATTGCATATACCGGTACTAATTTGTGAACTCATTTATCCCAGGGTGTGTGACATAACTTCAAATTAGTAAAAAGAACAGTTAATGTGGGTGTTGTCACAAGAGGGCAATATTTACTTCACATAATTTATTTACACATTTAGTTCATCATGATTACGTGCCAGCGTCACCTGGGCAGAATTTTTTTTTTATAAACAATGTTCCATGGGTCCCACATCAAACTTGACAACTTGAGTGACTTGAAGTTGGCTGGCAGCCTGTAATGCCCAACACATTGCCATTTTCTAAACAGATAAAAACAGCATAACCAATAAAATCTTCTCCATACAGTCAAAAATGAGTTCACAGTTGAGAAGTATTTGAGACTTAGCGAATGACTAAGTTTTCCTTGTTTTAACTTTCTTGCGGTATTTTACTGTCTCTTCTGGTTCAATTTCTTCTTTTGCTATAGTTGGTTTTGAGAATGTTGGCTTGACAACTGGAATACTTTTCGCGAACTGCTGAATGTATGGACGAATCTGAAATGACAAAAATGTTATAGATGTAGGTTTTCATTATTACGCATCAGATCTCACACTACAAATAAACTCTCAATAGACGACAACAAAGAAAACTTGACTAGCATTTATATTTTACACATAGACCCAACGAGTATCCAAAATTTTACAAAATTAAAAAAAGGCAATTTGTCTAATCCTTAAAATCAAAATAGTAAACAGCATTGTCACGGTGATGAAAGTCTTGAAAATGAAGACGATTCAACTACACTGGTATTGGCAGTGTCAGAAAAGGTGACACAGCTTCTACCATTATTTTGCACCTAATTTCATATTTCTTTGATTGAATATGTTTGAAATAATCTTTTTTAAAAAACACAAAAAAGATCAATATAGCATATTCAATGTGCAATGTTTCAGTGAAATGCAATTCAATTATCATTTGCGCAACTGTAACAAATTACAGTCCATTACAACATTAACTTATCGCCATGTATCATATGCATTTCTTACCTTTGTGTGGTTGTATGCGACATAAACCGCAAGTAATATTAAGGGTAATGTTATATAAGAACCTTGCCCAATCTCTTGATCCAAATTACGCCGCTAAAAGTAAAAAAAAATTATTAGAAAAAACAGTTCAATATTAAATCGCGACAGCATTGGCAAGGTTTAAAGCTTTGACCAGTAAGTACAAATGATTTTATTCATGACTAAAGTAGAAGTCACTTAGAGGAAGTGTTACAGTCAGTTCGTCACATTCAATGCGAGTCTCCTGCAATCTCTTTAACACATGTAAAATTGCTTTGACTGTTTAAACAAAATTCAAACCCACGTGAAGAACACAGTTCTGAATTGCATCATAAAAAAGGTTGCATAACAGCCTGGGTGGTATACTGGTCTGATCAGCTGATAAAGGCGAGGTTTAAATCATTTGGAGTTGTTTCTTTACTCTATACATACCTTTGGTTCAAACTTCAATGTGACGTGTTTCTGATAACCTTCTGTAGTGAAACTAACTGTTGGCAGTGTGTAGTCAAAATTAGACTTGGCCAGAGACGACTCTACTTTTATAATATATCTCTGAAATAAATCCAGGATAATTACAGTGTGAAATATAGTTCTGTTGATATACTTCCAATTATCAAGTAAGCAGTTGTATGCAGAACTTTATGTGTAATCTTTAATCAGTTTTGTATCCAACATTGTTGATTTTGTATGCTTTGGAAAGTTTACAAACTGTTACATCCATTTTTTATTCACACACATTGATGACTTGTGGTGTTATCTTGTATCCATGGAAACACATTCAAAAGATATCTCTTGTCAGCAATATATCAAACTAACTTAATGCACCTTTTCTAACAGAGAAACACTGTAGAGCACTCAATGAGAAAACACAGTGAAACAAACGAATACCACTTACCATGCCATCAATTGGCAGTGTAGGAAATTGAAAGAAATGATTAGTGCCCAGTGTCAAAGTATGCAATGCTGAGTCTTGGTTGTCTTCACTGAATAATAAAAGCTGCAATGAGAAATGAAATGCAATCAGGTGATACAAACACTCAAAGGTTAATTACAATTTTAAAATAATTTCAGTCAGTCGCGTCTTGTGACAGAATAGAGACTTCTTGGATTGAGCAAAGTTGGTTAAAATTTGTGTTTGTAAAATTACAACTTTATTTGTTCCAGGCTAGGCAATATTTTATTTCATAATATTATCATTCTGTATGTTGTAGAGTTGTTGAAGAAAAGAAGAATTTGTACATGATTGCGAATGTCTGTAGAGTAGTTATACTACAGGTATATACTTATGTTACTTGGAACATTTATAGTTATTGGTATTTTTGTGAGTGTGCGTGTACAGATAGTTTTATAGAGAGAATTATATGCAGTTGTAAGTCATTGTCAATGACACGTCCCCGTTCCGTTCATATTTGAGTGACATATACATTCAAAGCAGATCTTGACCGAAATGCACCTGCATATGTACAACACATTGTACTAAATCTGAACAAGTCATGAATGACACTGCCTTCGCTAGTTGTCATTCTAAAGTTGCATGGACATAAATTGGCAAACGTCATTTCTATGGCATTTTCAAGTTTATAGCACTCTCCATCCAGGTCAGCATTATTCTCAGCAAGGAAACCAGATAGCACCAAACCAGTACAACAGGTAAAAATGACAAGGAAGTATACAAATCAGATCTGCAAATATGTAGAGTCAGTGTTGTGTCTGTTTGGATAAACTAGTTTGTGGCCCTGGATTAGTTTCAATATCTCTTAATAAGGACAAGATTACTTCTCATACGACAATGATACAAATAAAGTGCAAAAATCCAGAAAATATTATCAGTTTTTATTATCATACATTA